GTCCGTCGTTTCAGACTAGTAACAGCCTTAGTAACATAAGTTGGGGAAGGTGTATGAATGCCAGATTTAATCCTGCTTTGTTAAACTTTTTTTCTAAGTAAGGTTTCAACCGCTTTCTCCTTGTGTGGTAAAACTAAGGATACTTTAAATTCCTTCTTCTTAAGGTTTCCGTCTTTCTGTGTATGTTTGTTGTTCATATGGTGCCTAGTATTACCACTGTTATGGTTATTATTTTTTATTAATTTTCCACTAATTGTGTTCGAAACGTCGTCATCCGGTAAATAATACTATTTCACTGCGTGTGTGTGCGGGTGTGTGTGTGTGTGGCATAAATACAATGTACAAAAGAATTCGGAATTAAGTATTACTCTAAATAAGGACGAAATAGAATTCTACTTCTATCCCTAGACGCCTGTATACACGTGATCAGATAAAATTTAAGCAGAGTATTTGTGAAATGAACCAACGAACAAAGAATCACAAACTAATCAACAATAGTTTTTTTTTCACTGAAAATGAATTCCTGTCTTTGAAATACAAACGCAATCTGATAGAGTGCTTGGTCCGCTACAGAGCAATCTGCTCTGATGAATGTATTAATGAAGAACTTAATAGTGTTAAACTTTCGTGATTTACCGCGACTGGCACCAACCAGTGTCATCGGCGAGATATCCGTCCTCATACTTGATTAGATGGGTGTGCCTTACTGGTCACGACTTCTCACTAGAACTCTAGGAAACTCCGTCTTGAGGCAATTTACTGGCGATCATCGGGTCCCAGTGGCTGAATGGTATACGAGCTTGCCTTGTAACTGGGAGGTCCTGCGTTTGAACCCTGGCGGTGGGTGCGTACTGCTGATGATTCCCAAACTAGGCTGATTATACAGCTGCCCAGTTCTCCATGGTGGTTTTCAAGGGCTCTCTAACTGACATCAATCCGTTGTCAAACTCGTATTAACCTGAATGTCAAGTCTGTTCGCAAACTTAGCTAGTCACTGTGAAAGTACTTTTGACAAGCCGCTAAAGACTTACATCAAAAGAGTTGCTTTTGTAGATCTGAGAATTGACTAGAAAAGGATAAGAAAGCAAAGGACTTCTGTGGGCAGGGAATCACCATTAACAAATATGCAGAAGGAAAGGGAAGTAAACCCACGTTGAGATGACACTCAAGTGACGTGACACACATCTGCCTTAGGAGTGGAGCTTATATGGAAGGTGATGGGTTAGGTGAAGATGAAATGAAAGCTTGTGGAAGGTCGTATGGGCAGCTTGAAGTGATATCAAAGAGGAGAAATGGAATAGAGAGATGCTATCGGAGTTCTGCATTCCACTCGGAATTCAAGGGGGATGAATACTAATAAGCAATCAGATCAATAGGGGAGGGGGTTTAACGATTCATACTACTAACTGAGAAGAACAACTCTAAAAAGTTGACCAGACATCTCAATCATTAAACAATCGTCGCGTTATACAAATTCTGCTTCGGTCAATGACGACAGAATTTCGCATAAAACTCCATAGTAAAATGATTGATTGAGATGAGGAGTTGCCTACCACTCATATCAACCTGTGGTGTGGTACTTACTAGCCAAATTGAGGTAATCTATAGACCGCACGGCCGTTTCACTCGTTTGGAGCCAAGTCTTAGAAATGTGGTAAAAAAAGCATTCCTCGCTGCTGAATTATGGTGGGTCTTCAAAACCACTCCAATTTTGCATTCGAGAGTAAAAGATAAACTGCCTAATTTTGCCTCTTCTATGTGTATCTACCAATTTCAATGCTACCGTGGATCCAGTTAACTGCATAGGCCGTACAATTAGGCGTGTTTATCGTCAGATTTCCGAACAGGACTAGAAAAATACATTCATCTTGTGGATACAGAACATAAGATTGATGTCAACGAGACGGCTTTCAAAGTCATCTACCGCATATCAACAAATCTTAACTTCGCCTTAAGAGTTCGTCAACTACATATTGCTGAGGCTGGTTGTTAGGATCCACATTAAGAAGCCTAACTTATGTATCCAAAAGAAGCTGGTTGGTTGAGACATTGTCCTTGCTTTGGCTATCAAGGTTTTAATAATCCGCAACTTGTTGTGGAAATTTCCTTAATTTTATTTGATATTCTACTTGCCATTATATTATTATTATTTATGCATCTTTAATGAGCTGTAATTCCATTTATCTTACTTAAAAAATCGATAGTATTTAAAAACGCCAAAACACCGTTATTGACGACTATTTTAGAATATTCTATGTATATAAACATGTATATAGTTGTAGAGCCAGAAGAGAAAATTATCGAAAAGGATATTATTTGCTCAATTTTACATTTTGTTTCTATCTAGACTTCTGAATGAATATTTTCGCTTCATTGAAAAGAAAATTTTTAGTTTAGATTTAGTCACCAGCCAACATCATTTAAAAAAAAATTATTCAAAAACCCAGGGAGCTCTGGAAATCTGTTTCGTCTCAGTTTGAAACTCGTCATCAGTCCACACTCAGTATCCTTCAGGTTAGGAAGGCAGCCCATCGACTATGCAATCAATGAGTTGAAATTCATTGTTCCATGAATTCTAAGTTATGTCAATTTTATGTCATAAAGCGTTAGTCGTGACCAATACCATCGATATGCATCCGAATCACTCTGACATGGCGTACCCCACTAGTCGTAAAATGTCAACCGAACTTCAGGAAGGCTATTCTCAGAAGTGACTAACTAGCTGGAGACGGATAGTCAGAGCATTTATACCTTAGATTTCATCTCTGGTGACGTTATGGGTACACACAGTTAAAGAATTCCGAAAATCAGGGTGAAAAATCTGTCTGTTAGTTAGTTAGTAGCAAACTTTGCTCTGAAATTAATCGAAAGACCGACGAAACCAAAGATTTGAAATGACAAAAACATTGTCTGATATCGTATGGAAATGTTTAAAACGCCTAGAGAAGAAAATATATTGATCTGCGAATCAACTAAAGGTTGTTGAACAAATCCGGGAGTATTTTGATTGGACACTAGTAACTAGTGTGATGTGTCTGGTCCTTTCTTTGGTACAGACTGAATTCAGTCAGTCAGGTTTGTAATGTGTCCACCATTCTAGGTAGTTCGCCATCACGGTAAACATTGATTTGATGATATTAGATGGTTGGAGGCAATCGGCAGGTAGCCCTGCTTGATCTAGGTTTCGTGCTAGTTGGCACACGTCAGTCAACAAGGCGTATCTGCAACCTTGAAGGAATTCATGTCCCTCCTGAGATTCGAACCCGCATCACCCAGTGCTACAGTCAGAGACGTTACCACCACTGAGCTATTCGGGTTCGTGATTGACCGCCTGTAGCAATAAACCTAGGTCCAAGGCTTCCTGTCAACTGCCTCCAACCATCTAATAAATCCCGGAGTGTTAGCTTGTAGGGATTTGAATTGTGTCAGGTTTTATCACAGATTGATATCAGTCAAAGAACCCGTGAAAATCGGCAGTAGAGTACTAGACAGCTGTTTTTTTTCCATTTTGAGATTCTTCGACAACAAACATACAGAATCTAACCCACAGAGGATGGAACAAAAGATCTACAATTTATGACAATGTAATAAAATTATTTAAAAATAATTCTAAGATGGTAAAAAAACCGCGAAACACGATTTTTCGCAAAATAACAGATATATACATACCTATATGCATCATTGTGGAATCTGAAGATGTCACAGAGAAGAATACACTTTGTCAACTAATAATCACGAAAAATACTCATCCAGACATAGAAAAAAGAATAAACAGTTCAGTGAAGAATCTCTTTCTGGAGAATTCATTCACTTAGCTGTACAATCGCAGTTATAAATACATAATTATTTTTGTAAATCTCATCAGGACACTCTATTCGAACTCATGCAGCTAGGTAAGATCTTGCGGTGAGCTGTTAACTGAAGCAGTGATAACCAGTGGTGTCCTACAGGGATGCCCAGTACCCTCACTTCTATTCAATTTCATCATAGATGTACTAACCGCTGACTTCAGTGACTCAGGGATTGACTTGTTACCATCAGTGAATAATCCCGTTGACTTATAATATCCAGATGATATAGGCCTTCTAGGTGGGGACGCTGATATAATGCAGAGTCTTCTGAACACCTTGAGCTACAATCTGCAAATGTTTGGCATGCGATTCGATCCCGTCGAATGTAAGATGATGAGGCTACAGTAATGCTACAGACTATACCTCACTTAGAAATAGGAAATAAAGTGGTAGAGCATGTTGACCGCTTCACTTATTTATGGAGTTGCATCAGCCAGTGCCAGACGGTACGGATACAGAAGGTTCGTTTGGCATATATAACCGACAACTTACGTCATCTCTGGCTTAGTAGACATGATATCCGGCGGGCTGTCGAACAAAGGACGTATGTACTGTTCAGCAGTCCTAGCTGTGAGTGAGACATGGACATTGACGAGGTTGTGAAGTTTCATCGACTGAGAAGGCTAGGGAATGTGCTACGCATGCATACCTAGCCATCGCCTTCGTTGAAAAGCAATATCAGCTGGCTGACATAGGATGGCTTAGGTTAGAAAAGAACTGGTTGTGGTCAAACCAGAACATGACACCACCAGTTAATGAAATCCATAACAGTTAGTTTAAGTCAGCCAGCCACGTAGGGAGGTATATACCTCCTGACTGGTTGTGCTCCTCAGGATGGTGAAAACCAATGAAGGCTAAAGACAATTTGTGATATGGCTCAAAATCCTAGTTCTCAATGGCTGGTGCAGATGCATCCACTCTATCGATCAGACAACCAGTCTGTTGCGCCATTGATTTCACATTGACCTACAAGGGATAGAGACCCTACTAGACAAGGTTTTGCTTAGATTAGAAAGCTCGAAGAAAATTTCATCATCACCATCTAGCGGATTTTTGAAAACATCTTCAGAAGAACATCACAAAACACACGCACACCCAGAGAATGCCTTCAACAATCATCTACAGATATCTTGTTATGCACAAACTTACCTTTGAAAAACTTGTACACGTTTTAAATCGATAGATGTCAATTGATAAATTTGTTGTATAGCCCCGTATGAAAATAATAAACTAATATTCACTTCATCTTTATTCGACTGGATATTGCTAATGACAAAAGCACGGCGGACAATTTGGTCACACGAGTGTTTTGTGGATTCTGCTGTTGGTGTTGTCATCGTGGTTTGATTATCACCTGAATCATTATTATTACCATTTGTTTGTGATTCCACGATGGGTAGAATGCTGGAAATATTTATAAATTCATCAGTTTCATGATGAATAGGAGGATGCGACGGATCAAGAGGAGCATCACATTTCGCAGTGATTCGGATAGTAGATGGATAAGAAAAATACGAAGGGCTGGTCTTTTTTATCGTTTTCACTTGAATTGAATCACTTTGTTGTTGTAATTGTTGGGTTAGCAGAGCAGTTTGAAGTAGCTGCTTTTCACCTTTTAAACCGATTAATCCATTGGGTATATTGACTAGAACACGTTTAGCTACGGTTGCTACTGTGTGTATATTGTAATCTTTCCAGTCAATTGTATGATTCGATGCAAAACGTTGAAGTATATGCTGTAATAGGAGAGAAGAAAGGGAATTAAATTTACACAGAAGACGGAATTAAAACTATTACATATATATATATAGCATGATTCAATAAACAAATGTTCAGGTAGACATAGTAGTCGATAAAGGCTAGAAAAAGCATATGAACTGATTATGTAATGCTAGATTGTAATGGAAGTAAATGAAACACGTTTTTAACGAAGATGTGATAAGATTTAGGCATGATAAGAGAGGAGGGGTTGAAAATATAAGTAAGCGGTGGTGTAGAAGTCATCAGTTGGTTATGTCTCAATAGGCCAAGGGAGCGATAATCGCTGTACGAACTTCTTTTGAATGAAGGCATAGTTTAGGTTTAATAGTTGTCCGAATGCCTATCGCTTGCCTCAGCTGTGTGCAGTAGACGAATACGAAGTCTAGTGAAAAGATTCGGTGGGATACGATCAATTACTTTGTGAAAGCTCTCGTTTTCTCCACTATCAATTAAATGTGGCAAAATTGAGCTACGAATTGTTTTTGTCTGTCCTTTGCCAAACCACGATGGAAGATGTTCATTAACACGCCGAATATAACTGTCACCTCAGGTGCACCTGAATTGATAAATGCACACAGATATGGCAATACCATCAAGCATATCCTACGTTTGCTTGCCAATCATTCGTCGGCCAGAGAATGACAAACATAGGTATGCTGCATAAAACGTTCTTCGTATACTCCTGGAAAGTCTCTGGAATAAAATCTCACTTGATAAGTCACCATTAAACTATAACTTAATAAATAGAGGTTTCTTACGTGCAGTCATAGTCTCAGGTTTTCTCTCTGATGTTTCCATATGTTTCTTTATGAAACTACTCGGATAGCCCATATCCGTCAAGAAGTCGTCAGTATATTCAAATTCCTTTTGTAAGAGGTCATCTATACACAACTTTCTTGCTCTGTCCGTAAAACATTTAACAACATTTCTTTTATATTTGATTGGCTTGTAACTAAGGACATGTGTGTATTACCCTGTGAATGTGCTTTCTCTATACACGCTTATCCAAAGTGACCCGTCTTCTCGCCTATTTAGTGAGACATCCGGAAAATGTAGTTTGTTCTCTTGCTCCTCTTCACAAGTAAAGGTAAGCGAAGGGTGGATGTTGTTGAATTTCAGCAACAATTCGTCTATGTTAACATTCCCATCAGCTAAGATAAATGTATCATCGGCATATCGGTAATACATATCAAACTCCTTGATGATGTCTTTCAATTTCCCGTTTTCAAGTTTTGTGAGAAAGACGTCAGCTGATATTGGGCCTAATGGTGAACCCATAGCTATTCCATCTACTTGTCGACAGTATGAATTATTGAAAACAAAGTGCACATTCATTGTGCATTTAAAAAGTAATTCCTTAAGGCTACACAAGGGAATTCCTGAGTCCCATCGCCTTTCTGTGATTAAACCTAAATTATACATATATATTTGCATTAAATATGAGCTACATAACGGAAAAAGTACAGTTGGCGAATAAGTGGAAATCAGGGAGCACTGGAAAGTTGTCTCGTCTTAGTTTGCAACACCTAAGCCATGTGAATTTACTATCCCGCCCTGGAATAAACCCTGGACCTTCATGCAACGAGACTAATCTCGTTGATTAGATTATGAAACAAAGGCAGTTGAAGTCAAATGTACTAATAAATGTTACATCTCAAGTCAGTGAGCTCCCCAAATGGAACCCGAATGAGGAGATAGACGGCTTGATCGTCCAGAGTTGACAAGGTCCCCAAAGACTTCAAGCATGAATGCTTAATAGTGCTACACAGAGTTCCTCAATATTGCATGGAAAGATTTTGAATACGCCATCTACATATAGCTGAATTATTGGCTATTTGGGATCTGAAACTGAACCTCTGCATTCGAAAGCGTCGGTGGCACAATGGTTAGGACTCTCGCCAACCATGCACATGGTCTAGGGTTCGATCCCCTGCCGACGCACACCCGATATCTATGGTCGGCCTGCAAAATCTGGGCTACCGATATCACATGCTGAAAATTCCATATCTGTACCGTAAAATACTTATCAATGATAATATTTACTAATAACATTACATTTCCATACAGAATTTTATAAAAACACTTTATCATCCTTCCACTAGTTTTTGCCCCCTACACATAATTATTGTGATTAGTCATTTTCCCACACATATTACGTCATCCCAAATTTTGCGCCATTTTCTTAATTTCAAATTAGTCGCCGCTTACTATAAATACACCTTACATTATGTAATACACTTTCCAGAACAAATTCACCAGTATATTTCAGGTCTTATGCGTCAGTGGTGCAGCGGTAGAATGCTGGCTAACCATGAATGTGGTTTGGGGTTTGAGTTCTGGCCGGCGCATCCCCCCCTCAGCCGGTCAAAATCCAAACAAAGAGAGGAGATTGGGTGTAAGGCTATTGAAACTTCAAAGCGAGAGCTTGAAGCCTTATGTTCCACTGGGAACTCAAGGGAACAAAACTATTAAAAATGATTCGCCTTATGAATTTTTTTCTTAAATATGTATACGATTGTCAACCTTACGAGAGGGAATCGTTAAAAAGAAAATTCGCTAGTCTGTTTTCTCATGACTCCATATAGGAACATTCCTTATTGAATTGAATTTTTGATTTTCCCGTCGATTGATTGGACCGAAGTGCTCGGTCTCAGGTTGACATGTCGGCTTCTTGTGCAGATGCTTCGACGATGTCTGGGTATTTAATTAGTATACAATTGGTGGATGGTGGATAGCAGTGGAATCCAGTGGAATCCATCCACCAATTGTATACTAATTAAATACCCAGACATCGTCGAAGCATCTGCACAAGAAGCCGACATGTCAATCTGAGACCGAGCATTTCGGTCCAATCAATCGACGGGAAAATCAAAAATTCAATTCAATAATTAATATGATCCGTTGCACAAGAGGTGGCTCTCGTGGCCCAAGTGGTCTAGTGGATAACGCTTTGGCGTTTGAAACTGTGGGTACTGGGTTCGAGCCTCGGTGGAAACATCATCACTCACTGAGAAATGCAGGCACATCCAACTGACGAGTCCCAAATAGGACGAAATGCGCTTTATCCTGGATTCCACTGCTAGCCACCATCCACCAATTGTATACTAATCGGAATATTCCGTTCATTAAAAAAATGATATAATTTACCGAATACCATGCAATGCCTTTGGTGTCAATTGCACAGGTCAGACTAGTAGACTGGGGTCAAATAGATCATTATAACATAAACATTTAGCTACACCTAGAATTTAAAACAATTAGTCCCTTTTACAAACTTGGATAGCGTTATTAGAAGACGGAGATTATCTGAAAAATGTGTGTACAGAATCATATTTGTCTCACATGCTAGGAAAGAAGCCGAAGAGACGAAGGCTCAATAAGACGACCAATCTATAGAAAGCCGACTTGGACAGGGCAGTACATTGACTTTCACAGTTTCTGTCCATTACAGTATAAGAGAGGCTTGGTGAAATGTCTATTTAAGAGGATTCAACGTATTTGTACGGCTGATGTTATAGAGAAAGAAAATGAAATATTGATGGATACTCTCCTGTTGAAAACGGGGATATCCTTTAAAATTTTTAAACAGGTGTAGAAGTCAATTAGTCTCTAAGCCTACAATCCATACCACCCGTTAGAAAAATATTTTCATCGAATTACCACATAACGGGGAAATAAACGGTAGGATTTTGAGACAAAGGTTGAATTCGATCATCCGTAGAACCTACTATGCAGCCCAGATTGTATGTAATTGTCGAAAAAGCTAAAAATATGCTTCACTGTAAACCTCACAAGTGATTATGTCACATCCCACACAATTTACCAATTTTCGTGTGTAAGCGGTCACATATATATGGAGGAGTAATCGCGCTTTGCATGTGAGGATGAAAGAGCGAGCATATCTCAAAATGGCTAGAAAAACAAATGAATTGTGAAAAACCAATAGATCCAGGTGTCAGACTACCAACTTCGTCTATAGCTAAACATCTAATCGAGATGAACCGTAAGAGTGATGTTAACTCAGCCTTTAAGGTCATCTATAAAAATGGTCGAGGGCGCTTATTGAAATACGCTGGGGCTATAGCTATGCATAAACTTAAGCACACCCCATTGTGAAATCAAAGGCAGTTTATTATTACTATTAATCTACCTTGGTAATCCTTATTTGATTGGATTACCAAATGTTGTGTTAATTATTCTTAAATCCTTTTTTGGTCACTTTGTTTAATTTAGCTTTTTCATATATACTGACTTGACAAGTAAATGTGTGATCAGATTGTTTGAAATGCATAGACCTAAAATGATTAATCCTGCTAAATTAACTCAGCCATTACATTGCATTTTACTTGCATGGCATCACACAACAGGGCGGGGCGGGGCGGGGACAGGGTTTGAAAGTATTAAGAAGGTAATACATTTAGGGGGAGAGAGAAAGAGCGGTTAATCATGAAATCTTTGCTTATCAATTTAACATAGCATACATGAAGTCGAGGCAACACAATCCCTACACAGGAGATATCAAAAGTGACAACAAACAACAAAAAGAATTTGGAGAGATAGAAAGGCAGAAAAAAAATATATATATATAAGACAATGTGTGAAGCTGTATGACTGAGTTGATACGATTATGAGTAGCAATCATTTGTGCTCGAAATCTTGTCATCCAACTATTAATACTGCAACAACACTGTGTGTTATTTCAAATATTTAAAAGAGTTGATTTGTAAGGATTAGATTTGTATTTCGAGTTTGACTACGGATAGATATCAGTTGGAGAACCATTGAAAACTAATCAAGGAGTACTGGATTTATAGTTTGGGAATCATCAGCAGTAAGCACCTACTGGTACTCGCTAATGACTATCTACATGACATGACGAGAGAGGCCCATCCAGTACGCGATTGAGGATACATTTCCTGCCGATGACATTAGTCGGTTGGTGCTAGTCACGTTAAAATCATGAAATGGATAGAAG